GGAGGAGGAGGAGGGGAGAGGAGGAGGAGGAGGAGGAGGTGGAGGAGGTGGAGGAGGAGGAGGAGGAGGAGGAGGAGGGGGAGAAGGAGGTCGAGGAGGAGGAGGAGGAGGAGGAGGAGGAGGAGGAGGAGAAGGAGGAGAGAGGAGAGCGGGGAGAGAAGCTCTCTGGGGCCCTGTTTGGGGTTTGGAGCGTTCTTTAGAGCTACTCTAGTGGAGGTGCCCCCCTGTCACACCTAGTCGGCCAGATTGGGGGTGGCCAGACTGGTGCATGCAGGGGGGGGGGGCAGGAGAAGCTAAGGGGAGGGAAGTGAGGAGGATGAGGAGAAGGAGGAGGAGGAGGAGGAGGAGGAGGAGGAGGTGTAGTGGTGGAGAGGAGGAGGAGGAGGAGGAGGAGGAGGAGGAGGAGGAGGAGGAGCGCAGGAGCAGCAGGAGGAGGAGGAGGAGGAAGAGGAGGAGGAGAAGGAGAACGGCACTGGAGAGAGGCGTGGCGGCACCCCGAAGACGAGGAGGAACAGGAGGAGGAGGAGGAAGAAGAGAGGGGAGAACAAGGAGAGGAGCGTTGTTTGGGGTTCGAGGTCTTCTTTGGGGCCACTGGAGGAGCCAGAAGCGGCGAAAGGCGTTGGGGCTCGAGGATCTCTCCTGGGAGCTCCTCGGCAACGAATCCGAGTCTCCTCGGGGCCTCGTGGGCAATCTTCGGACGATCTTGAGAGGACCCGGAACCGTGTGTGGCCGTTCTGGGCCCGTCATGGGGAGACATACAAAGAAAACCTTGAAGCTCAAATAAGTTGCTTGATGTTTGGCCTCGTGGGGCCATCATCCGGTTCCTCGTGGGCCATATATGGAGCCTCCTGGCCGGTTTTCGGGCCTCCTTGGGCCGCCATGAGGTTCGCTTCGGGTCCTCTTGGGCCGTCCTGCCGCCCTCGTCTGGGGCCGCCTGAGGACGTCTTGGGGCCATCAGGGGACCGCCCGGACGCGCGCTAGGATCGAGCTGCTCGCCCATTCTCGCTCGCGCCGCGATCAGAAGTGTATCGCAGATGACATCGGGCTCCAGCGTCGCCTCCCGCATCTCGCTGAGCAGCGCCAGAGCCCGCTGCCACTGCTCGCCCTTCCCGCACGCGCTAACCCCAGCGTTGTAGCTGAGAATGGTGTGCGCCCGTGGCAAAAGTACGCGGAGGGCGGGTCGCAGTGTGGGCCCCCCGAACGCGCAGACGTCGCCGACGCGGGCAGAAGAGGGAGGGAGGGAGAGCGACGCCAGAGAGATGGGGTGCAGGCTCCTGGAGGCAGAGGGGGGAGGAGGAAGAAATTGCCCCGCGACGCACCCAACGCATTTAGTTGCATCAAGTGGCAAGAGGGGTCGGTCCGTGTTTGCCAGGACAATAACAGTGTAGGCGCCGATATCTGATGTTGTGCAGGCTACATAGGGCACGTTCACTTGGCATGATTCACAGGACAACAACAAAGGACGACGAGCGAGGGCCCAGGCTTGAGGAAGACATGGGGGCGGGAACGAAGGACAGGAAAAGACGCGCGGGGGGCCGAACCGTCAGCGCGGCAGCAACAGAGGGAAGGTGGCAGGGGGCAGAGGACGACGAAGAAAGTGACGGGAGGAGACCGAAGAGTGCTGTTTTTGTCGGTAGTGCGTAAAGATACAGCGCTGCCTGCGCCATGACGCCGCTGCGCTCGACAAAATGAGATTACCCTGCGTAGTGTTCGTGCAAGGAGCGGGCGAGGCCTAGCTCACCCGTCCGTTTCCCTGCTCCCCTCCCAGCCCGCGACAGCGCCCCGCGGGACCCCCCAGCAGGCCTCGCACATGGCGACAGCTTCGCAGGTCATAGCCCCCCGGGAATGGCGAAGTCTAATCTGAGCCTGGGTGATGCTTCACTCCGCTGAAACCCCCCGCAGACCTCGAAAGCGGCGACAGCTTCGCAGATCGTAGCCCTCTAGGGATGGCGAGGTCTAGTCTGAGTCTGGGTGGTGCCTCACTCCGCTGGACCCCCCAGCAGCCCTCGAAAGCGGCGACAGTTTCTCAGATCGCAGCCCACCCGGGGATGAAGAGGGTCAAAGTTGAGTGCGCGTGGGACCTCGCTCCTCTGGACCCCCCAAACGCCCTCGAAAGGCAACTACTTCGCAGATCCCAGCCCCCCCAGCAGCCCTCGAACGTGGCGACAGTTTCGCAGATCGCAGCCCCCCAGGGATGACGTCTAATCTGAGTCTGCGTGGGGCCCACTCCGCTGCCCCCCCCCTCACAGCCCTCGAACGTGGCGACAGTTTCGCAGATCGCAGCCCCCCAGGGATGACGACGTCTAATCTGAGTCTGCGTGGGGCCCCACTCCGCTGGACCCCCCCAGCAGCGCTCGAACGTGGCGGCAGCTTGGCAGATCGCAGCCCCCAAGGGATGACAAGGTCTAATCTGAGTCTGCGTGGTTCCCCATTCCGCTGGACCCGCCAACAGCCCCCGAAAGTGGCGACACCTTCGCAGATCGCAGCGCCCCCAAGGATGACGAGGTCAAATCTGAGTCTGCGTGGGGCCCCACTCCGCTGAACCCCCAGCAGCCCTCGAAAGAGGCGGCAGCTTGGCAGATCGCAGCCCCCCAAAGATGACGAGGTCTAATCTGAGTCTGCGTGGGACCCCACTCCGCTGGACCCGCCAACAGCCCCCGAAAGTGGCGACACCTTCGCAGATCGCAGCGCCCCCAAGGATGACGAGGTCAAATCTGAGTCTGCGTGGGGCCCCACTCCGCTGAACCCAGCAGCCCTCGAAAGAGGCGACAGCTTGGCAGATCGCAGCCCCAAAGATGGCGAGGTCTAATTGAGTTCTGCGTGGGACCCCACTCCGCTGGACCCGCCAACAGCCCCCGAAAGTGGCGACACCTTCGCAGATCGCAGCGCCCCCAAGGATGACGAGGTCAAATCTGAGTCTGCGTGGGGCCCCACTCCGCTGAACCCCCAGCAGCCCTCGAAAGAGGCGACAGCTTGGCAGATCGCAGCCCCCCAAAATGACGAGGTCTAATCTGAGTCTGCGTGGGACCCCTCCGCTGGAACCGCCAACAGCCCCCGGAAGTGGCGACACCTTCGCAGATCGCAGCGCCCCCAAGGATGACGAGGTCAATCTGAGTCTGCGTGGCTAATCCGCTGAACCCCCAGCATCCCTCGAAAGAGGCGACACCTTGGCAGATGCCCCCCAAAGATGACGAGGTCTAATCTGAGTCCTGCGTGGGACCCCCTCCGCTGGACCCGCCAACAGCCCCCGAAAGTGGCGACACCTTCGCAGATCGCAGCGCCCCCAAGGATGACGAGGTCAAATCTGAGTCTGCGTGGGGCTCCACTCCGCTGAACCCCCAGCAGCCCTCGAAAGAGGCGGCAGCTTGGCAGATCGCAGCCCCCCACAGATGACGAGGTCTATCTGAGTCTGCGTGGGACCCCACTCCGCTGGACCCGCCAACAGCCCCCGAAAGTGGCGACACCTTCGGCATATCGCAAGCGCCCCCAAGGATGACAGGTCAAATCTGAGTCTGCGTGGGGCCCCACTCCGCTGAACCCCCAGCAGCCCTCGAAAGAGGCGTCAGCTTGGCAGATCGCAGCCCCCCACAGATGACGAGGTCTAATCTGAGTCTGCGTGGGACCCCACTCCGCTGGACCCGCCAACAGCCCCCGAAAGTGGCGACACCTTCGCAGATCGCAGCGCCCCCAAGGATGACGAGGTCAAATCTGAGTCTGCGTGGGGCCCCACTCCGCTGAACCCCCAGCAGCCCTCGAAAGAGGCGGCAGCTTGGCAGATCGCAGCCCCCCAAAGATGACGAGGTCTAATCTGAGTCTGCGTGGGACCCCACTCCGCTGGACCCGCCAACAGCCCCCGAAAGTGGCGACACCTTCGCAGATCGCAGCGCCCCCAAGGATGACGAGGTCAAATCTGAGTCTGCGTGGGGCCCCACTCCGCTGAACCCCCAGCAGCCCTCGAAAAAGGCGGCAGCTTGGCAGATCGCAGCCCCCCAAAGATGACGAGGTCTAATCTGAGTCTGCGTGGGACCCCACTGCGAGGCAACCAAAAGCAGCCCTCGAAAGAGGCGACTGCTTCGCAGATCGCAGCCCCCCCAGGGATGACGAGGTCAAATCTGAGTCTGCGTGGGACCCCACTCCGCTGGACCCCCCAGCAGCCCTCGAAAGTGGCGGCAGCTTCGCAGATCGCAGCGCCCCAGGGATGACGAGGTCAAATCTGAGTCTGCGTGGGGCCCCACTCCGCTGACCCCCCCCCCCCCAGCAGCCCTCGAACATGGCGACACATTCGCAGATCGAGGCCCCCCAGGGATGGCCAGGTAGGAGGCAAGCTGGCACGCAGGAAGGAGCGAGGTGAGAGGCAGGAGAGAAGGGGAGAGGGGGCGGGAGGAGGTGTTCGACCACAATGCTCTATTCAAAACGAAAACCCAACGCAGGAGGGTTGCAGGAAAAAAACAAGGAGAGGAGCTCTCTGGGGCAGCGTTTGGGGTCTGGGGCTTTCTTTGAGGTGCGTCGTAGAGCCTCTCCTGTCACCCCCATCCCCACATGAAGGGGGGGGCGAGGCTTGCTGGCGTCCAGGGAGGAGGAGGAAGAACAAAAAAACAGGAAGAAGAGCTCTCTGGGGCAGCGTTTGGGGTCTGGGGCTTTCTTTGAGGTGCGTCGTAGAGCCTCCCCTGTCACCCCCATCGCCCCATGGGGGGGGGGGGGCGAGGCTTGCTGGCGTCCAGGGAGGAGGAGGAAGAACAAAAAAAACAGGGAGAAGAGCTCTCTGGGGCAGCGTTTGGGGTCTGGGGCGTTCTTTGAGGTGCGTCGTGGAGCCTCCCCTGTCACCCCCATCGCCCCATGGAGGGGGGGGGGCGAGGCTTGCTGGCGTCCAGGGAGGAGGAGGAAGAACAAAAAAAACAGGGAGAAGAGCTTTCTGGGGCATCGTTTGGGGTCTGGGGCGTTCTTTGAGGTGCGTCGTGGAGCCTCCCCTGTCACCCCCATCGCCCCATGGAGGGGGGGGGGCGAGGCTTGCTGGCGTCCAGGGAGGAGGAGGAAGAACAAAAAAAACAGGGAGAAGAGCTTTCTGGGGCATCGTTTGGGGTCTGGGGCGTTCTTTGAGGTGCGTCGTGGAGGTCTCCCCTGTCACCCCCATCGCCCCATGGAGGGGGGGGCGAGGCCTGCTGATGTCCAGGGAACCAGAGGAGACGAGGGAGAGGGGAAAGGAGGCGAGCAGAAGGAAGACAGCGACACAGGAGCGAGGGGTGCGGAGGCACCCAAGAGGAGGAGGAGGAGGAGGAGGAGGAGGAGGAGGAAGGAGGGAGGGAGGGGGAGGAGGACGAGGAAGAAGAGAAGAAGAGAAGACGAGAAGAGAGGGGAGAGGAGCTTTCCTGAGCGTGTTTGGGGTTCGGGGTTTCCTCTGGGGCTTCGGATGATCCAGAAACAGCAAAAAGTACCCGGGCTTGAGGCTATCGCGGGAGCTCTTTGGCAACTATCTAGGAGAGGTATGGGGCCTTTGTGGGGTCTTGGACTTCTCCTGGGACTTCCGGAAATTCAGACAAGGCGAAAGGTGCTGGGGCTGGAGAGTTCTTGAAGCCCTCTTGGGCAATGTTGGCGCCCTCTTGGGCCATTTGGGGGCCCTCTTGGGCCTTTTAAGGGGCCTCTTGGGCCATCTTAGGGCCACGGTACTCCAGATTTCGTAATAAAGGGAGGGGGGTCTCATTTCGGGGGGGGTCTCTTCCAGGCTATCTTGGAGGGCCTGGGGGGGTCTGGGGACGATGTTTTGGAGGGTTCTCCCACGGGGGGGGGTCTAAAACTTCTCGTCTGGGAGGGTTGAGACCCCCTCCCTTTTATTACGAAATCTGGAGTAGGGGTCTGAGGCCGCCTGGGTGACCGGTGTAGGCCCTCTTGGGCAGCGCCTCTGGCGTCTTGGAAGGCCACCTGAAGCTCTATAGGCCCTGTGGGCCCTGTTGAAGGCCAGCTTGGGGCCTCTAGGGTCGTCTTGGTGCGCTTTTCGGGGCCTCTTGGGCCATCTTGGGGCGATTGCAAAAGTGCCGGAAGCCGCGTGGGGCCGTTCTGGGCCCGTCATTGGGAAAGCATTGGCAAACAATAGAAACCATCAGGTTTCGACTTGATGTGTGCCCTCGAGGGGCCGTCATCGGGGTCCCCGTGGGCCCGCTTGGGCCGTGCTGGAGGCGTTTTGGGCTGTCTGGGGGCTGGGTGTAGGCCCTTTTGGGCAGCTCCTGGGCGTTTTGGGCGGCCACTTCAGGCTCTATCGGGCTCTCTGAAAATGTTCTGCGCCGTTTTGGTAGGTTCGTGAGGCCCTCTTGGCCATCTCGCTGCGACGCTGCAATAATATTGCAACATCGATTGTTTTTATCTGTTGTGTTGCATCATGGGGCCGTCACTAGGGTCCTCGTGGGCCCTGTGGGGCCGTCCCGGGGGGCCTGGTGGGCCATCCCGGGGCCAGGATATGGGTCTGGGGCCGTCTAGGAGCCCAGTGCGGGCCCTGTTGGGCAGCTCCTCAGGCGTCTTGGGAAGCCACGTCTCGCTCTGCTAGGCTCTCCGAGGCCTCTGGGCCGTCTCGGGGCCCTCGTTTTGGTACGCTCGTGAGGGCCTCTTGGGCCATCTCCGGTGCGGGGCCGTTCCGAGCCCGCCATCGGACGAATGTGCGAATTCTTAGAAAGCAAAACGTTGTTGTATGTCTTCCCTCCGCGGGGAGCCGCCATCGGGGCCATCTCGGGCAGTCGTCTGGAGCCCCCTGGCGAGTCTCTGTGAAGAGGCCCACAAACACACAAATAAATACACACAAATAAAAATATTCCCCATATTTTCCCATATTTTCGGAGTTTTTGTCTTCCCACCACTTCCCATATTTTCCTATATTTTCCTGGGAATCGACGATTCATTGTGTCTGTGTGTTTCTTCCCCTCCTGACTCTGGGCCATGGCGACCCCCCGAAGCGTCGCAGAGCCTTCTCTTGGGGGCTGTCCGAGGCCGTCTCTCCGGGGCTGCCCGGCGGCCCTCTGTGAGCCCGGTCGGGGAGCGTCCAGGAAGCGCTCTGGGCGCCCGTGGGCGCCCGTGGGCGCTTCCGCCGCACGTACCTTTCACACGCGCCGCGACTGCGAGCGTGGTGCAGATGGCCTGCCATCGCTCGGACGTCCACTCCCCGTGTTTTTGGTTCGGTTCCGTGCGTGGTTTTCTCGCCGAATGATCAGGGATGCTCCTCGATGGCCCTCGCCGAGAAAGAACATGCACACGTCCGAGCGATGCCAAGACCTTTAACACGCGCCGCGACTGCAAGTGTGGTGCAGATGAGGTTGGGCTCCAGCCTCACCTCCCACATCTCGCTCAGCAATGCCAGAGCCCGATGCCACTGCTCGCCCTTCTCGCACGCGCTGATCAAAGCGCTGTAGCTGATGACGTCCGGCTCCAGCCCCGCCTCCCACATTTCGCTGAGCAGCGCCAGCGCCCCCTGCCACTGCTCGCCCTTCTCGCACGCGCTGATCCCAGCGCTGTAGCTGACTAGGGCTGACCCGTGGACTCCGTCCACGACATCTTTCTGGAATGGTTCTCGGAGGAACGGCGCAGATTGTACCGAAAATCTACAAACACGGCGGCGGCTCGGGCGGCGGCAGCGAGACCGCGCCTTCGTGTCCGAGCTCTTGCAGCGCTGCAGCAGCTTGGCCCAGCGCACTGCTCGTTCACCCCCCTCCTATTGAGGACAGTTTCGAAGTCTCTCGGGGATGTGCGTCGAAGTCGAAGCCCATCTGAGGCGTCTCAGGAGCGCTCGGGGAAGGGCTCGGGAGGCCATCGGGGAAAGCCACCGAAAGCGCCAGGGAGGCTCGCAAGGATCTACAGGGAGGGCCCAAAAGAACTTCAAGAAAATTTGAAATTCTGAAAAATCTTTAAAGAAACCGCTGTTGGGTCGGCCATCACCTCCGGGCGCGCCTTGATGGCGCGATCCAGACGCATCACCGCCAACGGGAGGGTTTGTTCGCCATGTCCCATTCTGTTCGCCCAGAGGGTCTGTGGAGGCCTTCGGGCGAACAGAACGGGACAGGGCAAGGAATGGGGAAGACTTGTCCGAATCTCCTGGGCCCCCCAGGTGCTCGTCCGAAGAATGCGGAGAGGTCCCAGGGTCATATCAATTGGCTGCTGTCCCAGGGGTCCGGTCTGCTTGGCCCGAAGAGTTTGCCAAGGCCCCTGGGGGAACAGAATGGCACAGCATATCGGGCAAAGGGGGGCGGTAGCTGGCCTGTCAGACCCGGCGTTCGTCTTCTGCCCAAGCGGCGCGGGGCCCACGGGCCCCAGGGTTGGCGGCCCGCTGGGTTTCCTCTTGTTCGCCCACAGGGTTGGAGGAGGCCTCCAGGCGAACAGAATGGGGCAGGACAATGAATGTGGGAGACTTGTCGCAAGCTCCCAGCCCCCCCAAGTGTGCGCCCGAAGGGTGTGGGGCCGCGTTGGCTCCCTCAAAGGGCCGTCTTGGAGCCGTCTAGGCCCGTCTTGAGGGCGCCGTTTGCCCTGATGGGGCCGTCTTGGTTCGTCGTGGGCCCCTCATGGGCGCGTCCGTAGGCCGTCCTGGGCCCATCGGGGTCCTCGTGGGGCTGTCTTGGAGCCGTCTGGGACCGTGAGGAGGCCGCCTTGGAGTCGTCTTGGGCCCCTCCTGTGCGCCTCCTTGGGCCGTCCTGGGCCCAGCAGGGGCCGTGTTGGCACCCTCTTGGGGCTGTCTTGGAGCCGTCTTGAGCCGTCGCAGCGCGCCTTGGGTTGTGCTGGGTCCGTCTTGGCCCGTCTTGGGGCCTTCCTGGGCGTTTCCTCGGACCCTCCTGGGACTTTCTGGGGCCTCTTGGTGCATCGGACCGCCGAAACGGCGGGAAACGCAAAGGGTGTAACAGTAAACAATGGAAAATTAACGATTTTTGCCAGCTGGGGCTCTCTTGCCATCTTGGCCCGTCTTGAGGCCCCGACCGGGCGCGTCCTTGGGCCGTCCTGGGCGCACCCTCCTGGGACCGTCTTGGAATCGTCTTGGGCCGTCTTGAGCGCGCCTTGGGCCGTCCTGGGCCGGTCTGGGGCCGTGTTGGCACCCTCGCGGCGAGGAAGCTCGGAGGCGGGCTCGAGGCCTCTTTGGGGCCATTTTGGAAGCTGTTGGGGCCTCTGTTGGGGCCTCGTTTGGGCTCCTTGGGAGCCTCCTGGGGCCTCTTCGGGGGATTCTTGGCGGCCCCTTGGGGCCTCTTGGGGGCCTGTTTGGGCCTCCTGGCGCCCTCTTGGGGCGGAAGGCTCGGATTTTCGGTCCGTGGTCCCCCTCTTGGCCCCCTCTTGGGCCTGTCTTCGGGCCCTCGTGGGCCGTCTTGAGCGTCTCTTGGGTCGTCTTGGGGCCCTCTTGGGCTGTTTTGGGGCGCTATTGGAAACCTCTTGGAGGCTCTCTTGGCGCGTCCTTGGGCCGGCCTGGGGCGCTCTTGGAAGCCTCTTGGGCCGTCTTCGAGCGTCGGAAAGCGGAAAAGGCGATACGGCCAAAATCTGTCCAAAACCGTCGTAAAACGGATGGTTTTGAGGCCCAAAACCGTCCAAAACCTCCTGAGGCGGTCCCCTCGTCCGCCCCCCTCGCTTCGAAACAGTTTTTAAGCCCCGTGGCACCTCTTGGGGACCTCTTTTGGGCTCCTGGGGGCCTCTTGGGCCTCTCTGGGCTCGTCTATCGCGCCCCTTGGGCTGTCTTGGGGCCCCCTAGGGCCTTCTTGGGCGGTCCTCGGGCCGTCTTGGAGCCATCTTGGGCCGCTCTTCGGGCCATCTTGGGGTCCCGTTGGCCTGTCTTGGGCGCCTCTGGGGCCGTCCTGGGGCCGCCTTGGACCGTCTTGGGGCCCTCTTGGACCGTCTTGGGGTCCTCTTGGGGACCTCTTCGACCGTCTTGGAGCGGTCTTGGATGCCTCTGGGGGGGTGGTTCGGAGCGTCGGGAAGCCGAAAAAGCGAGGAAGCAAAAAACCTCGGAAAAAAACACATGAAAATCAACGATTTTGGCCTCTCGGGGCTCTCCTGGGGGGCCTCTTGGGAGGCCTATTGGGCCGTCTTGGGGAGCTCTTGGGCCGTCTTGGGCCAATCTCGGGCGTCTTGGCCGGATCATTGCGCGTCTCGGGGCCCTCTTGGGCCGCCTTCGGGGCATCTTGAGCGGGTCGGAGCCGTCTTTGGGCTGTCGGGGCGGCCTCCGGAGCGTCTCGGAGCCGTTTCTAGCCATTGGGTGGATTTCCTTCCGGCACGAGGTTCCTCCGGCCATATAGTATAGAGCGTCGGAAAGCGGAAAAGGCGAGAAGGCCAAAATCCTTCCAAAACCGTCGTAAAGCGGATGATTTTGAGGCCCAAAACCGTCCAAAACCTCCTGAGGCGGTCCCCTCGTCCGCCCCCCTCGCTTCGAAGCAGTTTTTAAGCCCCGTGGCACCTCTTGGGGACCTCTTTTGGGCTCCTGGGGGCCTCTTGGGCCTCTCTGGGCTCGTCTATCGCGCCCCTTGGGCTGTCTTGGGGCCCCCTAGGGCCTTCTTGGGCGGTCCTCGGGCCGTCTTGGAGCCATCTTGGGCCGCTCTTCGGGCCATCTTGGGGTCCCGTTGGCCTGTCTTGGGCGCCTCTGGGGCCGTCCTGGGGCCGCCTTGGACCGTCTTGGGGCCCTCTTGGACCGTCTTGGGGTCCTCTTGGGGACCTCTTCGACCGTCTTGGAGCGGTCTTGGATGCCTCTGGGGGGGGTTCGGAGCGTCGGGAAGCCGAAAAAGCGAGGAAGCAAAAAACCTCGGAAAAAAAAACATGAAAATCAACGATTTTGGCCTCTCGGGGCTCTCTTGGGAGGCCTCTTAGGAGGCCTATTGGGCCGTCTTGGGGAGCTCTTGGGCCGTCTTGGGCCAATCTCGGGCGTCTTGGCCGGATCATTGCGCGTCTCGGGGCCCTCTTGGGCTGCCTTCGGGGCATCTTGAGCGGGTCGGAGCCGTCTCGGAGCGGCTCGGAGCCGTCTTTGGGCCGTCGGGGCGGCCTCCGGAGCGTCTCGGAGCCGTTTCCCGGCATTTGGCGCTTTTTCCTTCCGGCACGCGGTTCCTCCGGCCATATGGTATAGACTAGGGCTGGCCCGCGGCGTTCCGGCCGCGGAACCTGCCCGCCATAGTGTGGACGTGGAAGTGGAGCGTCTCTGGGGCCTCGCGGGGGGGCGAGGTTGGACGGGGCGGTGTGGATTGAGGCCGCTGGTGGGGGAGGTGGGCGAGGGATGCAGGCAAGCAGGCCTGAAGGCAGGAACGCGGTGGTGGAGGCTGTGTCAATGGAAGCACACCCCATGTAGGCACGACGCGGCGTGGACAGAAGCTTTTTCTCACGCCGCGCTCTGTGTTCACCATAGCTTCTACGGGGCGGGTCGCCGTGATATTTGTATCTGCTCTTCGCCGGTGCCGAATGATAATTTGGTCTGGTAGTGTGATGAAAATGGGGCCGGTAGGCGCGGGCATGTTCCTGTTCGCTCGCCTGGAGTTTAGACGGCAGAAGCCCACAAGAAGGCGCCGAGACGGCCCAAGAGGTCTCCAGGACGGGCCAAGAGGCCCCCAAAACGGCCCAACAGGGCCCCACGAACTCCCTAAGACAGGCCCCAGTATGAGGACACGAATCCACCTTTCGAGCTCACCGCCCCAAGACGTCCCCAAAAGGCCCAGAGATGGCTTGCAGAGGGTCCAAGAGGCCCCGAAGACGACGCTGGAAGTTGGACGCTCCCAGAGAGACAAGCATCCGAGGCCTATTGGGGGCCAATTTGGACCTTCTTTCGACCGCGAGGTGAGGTGGTCTGGGGCGCCTCTCGGGCCATCTTGGCGCCGGCTGGGGTCTTTCTTGGGATGCTATTGGGCGCCCTTGGGGCTGCCCTGGGTGCCTCATGGGTCGTCTCGGGCGCCGCTGGAGCCATCCTGGGGCCGTCTGGGGCCGTTTGGGGGCCTCCCGGGGGCGTCATGGGGCGATCTATGGGGGCCTGCACAGCCGTCTTGGAGACGATGCAGGCGGAAAAGGCAGACACAGGAGAAATATGCTTTTCCGACAGGAATGAGACGACTTTTGCTTCTTGGGGCTCGCCTGGGGGGCCATCCATAAAGCTCGCTTGGGGTCCTCTTGGGGCGTCCGGGCGCCCTCGTGAGCGTCTCTGTGCCGTCTTGGGGCCGTGTTGGGGCATTCTGGGGACCCTCCGGAGCAGTCTCGGAGCGCCTCGGGGGCTGGCGGGGCGCTCCGGAGGTTCCGGGCGGCCTTTCGGGACAGAGGACCTCCTCGCATGCAAGGATCGCTGCGTTGTAGAAGAGACTGGGACTGACCCGTGGACTACTTCCACGTCGTCTGCTCGAGGTGGCGAGCGGTGTCTGGGCAGGCGTGCTTGATTATGCCCAGTGCCTTTGACAGCTGCTCAGTACCCTCTCGAGGATCTTTTCGGCCTCTTGGGGGCCTCTGGCGCCGCATTGGGCGCCTCGTGGGCCGTCTTGGTGATGTCGTCATCGGGTCCTCTGGGGGCCTTCGAGGCCGTCTTAGGG